GTTTTGGGGTTTGAGGTTATTTCGGTGTTTGTATCATTGGAAGCTGTATATGTTATGTATCCTTCCAACTTTGAAGCTCTCTTCTCATTTGAAAGATTGTGAGTTGAAGCAAGTTCAGTTAGACCCTTAACCAAGTCTGCTGTTAGGAAAAACAAACAAATGGAAGGATTTTGGATGTGGAATAAACTATCTTGGGAACATTTGTGAACATTCTAGTTTCATTCTCTTTTAAAACTGTCTTCATGAAGCCATGTTTGTTTTATTCCTGTAGAGTTGTCAAGTAAGATACAAGCAGCATTTAGTCTGTGAACATTTTTAAATAGTTCCTTTTTTATCAAGTATTTTTCTCACAAGTATTGTTGTCATTATGAGATTGACACAAACCACTTGATCCTTAAAATTATCTCTGGCACATTGAGTGGCACTTGGTGTTTTCTCGCAGTCTTGAAACTGTTTCTGAAGGCCACATAAAATATGGCAGAGAGGTCAGGAACCATTTCTTTAGAAATTTTAGAAGAACACCTCACTGTTGTAACTGGTTGTAATTCCTGGGTGCTGACATGAAGATTAATAATGTTTTACTCTGATTTTGGCAATTTTTTGCCAATTCCATTGCCACAGTCCTTCCCTTTCAAGTTCTTACCTGGAACCTAAGTGATAACAAATGTTTTGGTTTTTTTTTTTATACTGCCAGATAAAAAGTTAGTTTTTCATATGTTACATGTTTTGTGAACATACACGCACAGAAACACATATGGATACGGACAAACTGACATGCACAACTGGATCCAAAGGAGATGAGAAATTCTTCTAAAATGGAAAGCTGTTACTAGTTTAAACATTAGGTAACTAGGTCTCATGTGGTTAAATGATATGGGAAAAGTGGGAGTGCAACCATATGGGTCTTTGTGCATTGATTATATCATATAATTCTCATTTTCTTTTCTTTTTTTGGGAGGGGTGATAGCACTCTTTGCTTTGCCAAGTATTATTATTGAGTTAACTGCCAAAGTTTAAGAGAGTGTGTCAAAGGCTCTTAAAATTATTTACTGTCGGGTGAAGGGACAAAGAAAGGTATTCCACATTCACAAACAGTTCATTTTTTTTATCTTTCTACCTGATGTTGGGCCATGACTAGACAGGAAGGCTTTCATGACTTTTTTTTTTAAATAATGCACACTGTTGGCAGATATTAGCATGTTAGTAAGGTCAACTTTAATCCACTCATTGATACCCATTTTAGAACTACACATTTGAATTTTTCATAGGATATGCGCTTTCTTGCCCGTTCTTCGCTATCTTTAAACTTCTGTGCATCAGAAGGCCAGCTCACCTGCTTGTGGTTTTGCACCATCTGGAAGTTCAAGTTTGACTTTAGAAATGATGTCATACTTGCTTACTGCAAGCTGAACTAATGTTGGTTGAGAATTGGATGCAGTTCAGGTCAATGTTTTTTATTTTATTTTTTAAAAAAGACCCTCAAGTTTCTTTCTTGATTCTGGGAGACTGTACAAAGCTTTAAAGATAGAGTGAAGGTGATTGAAGGGCATGATACAAATTCCTTTGAAGTTAAGTTCATGCCTTATGGCTCATGGAAAATAAACTCCCAAGCAGAAGACCTCAGCTGGCACCAGCATCCTCCTGCCATGTTGAGTTTGGCTTTTGTGAGTAGTATGTTGATCACAGCCATACTTGCTCTCTATTTTAGTTCAGGGAAAAAATACACCCGTGGAGGGGCTTGTTTTTAATCTTTTCTGGGCTCCGGACAGTTCAGCAGGGCACTGCCAGATCTCAAGTGGTGAGAAAGTACCATGAATGTTATTTGTGTCATTCATCATTGTGGAGTGCCTTCTTCTGAATGCTCTCCCCTTCAGTTCTTGGCCTCACACCTCACAGTGTTGATGGTAGGTATTTTCTTTTGATCCACACATAGACCATCCTGCTTTGATAGTGAGTTGAACATTTCTTCTCTGAATCTTACTAAGTCCATGTGAAAATACCTATGATTGATTATAACTGTTTCAAATGACAGATATAATAGGAAAAACTATGTCCTGATATTTCCCAAGGAGCTGACCAAATGATCTCGCTTCTAAGATAAAGTGAAAGCCACATTTTTATTACTAGATAAGAAATCTCCAAAAGAAGTGGGGGCAGTGTTCTGTTTGATAAGTCACTTCAGAATCTGAGATGCTGAGGCAGAAGCTAAGAGTTTTTATTCAGGAAGATATGAGCATCTGAATCCTCACCTCCATGTTTCCTGCTAGTACCTGTAACCCATGGCTGATGTGTAGAAAGAGGCTTGAATGTCATATGTAAGGAACCTGCAATTCTCGGTCTGATCACAGAATGTCAGCCCTCTCTAGTTATGCAGACAGAGTTGCTCTGCCTCATGGCCCCATGACATTACTCCTTCATAGGCATCCCCAGATCCATTTTTTTTTCTGGGGCAGAAATTATAAAAACCTTTCATCTTTTACAACATGGCTTCTCTCTCACACACACACACACACACACACACACACACACACACACACACACAC